GCGTGTCCGGCGACGCCCGGACGGATTCGGGCGCTCGGCAAGCGATCGTCGCCGCCCATAGTGCGCTCTCACTCTCTCTCTCTGACATCCGTCGCGCTCGGTTATTCGTGCGTGCTCGGCGACGCCCGGACGGATTCGGGCGCTCGGCAACGGATTCTCGCTACGTATACAGCGTTCTCTATCACTCCCTTGACGGTCTTCGGCCATCTTGTGAATATACGACGACCGGTCACCGGTCTCTATAATCGTTAGCGCTTTCTCTCGCACTCGGACATTGTGAGCTCGCGCGCGGTATACGGACCTCTCTCGCATTTTCGGATATTCTCATCGTCTGTCGGAACTTCTCTTTCTCTCTTGTGGGTCACTTCGAGTGGTATTCTCAGCGGTAACGGCAATTTCAGCCATCATCATGTCCAACCTCGAAGCGAAAATCTCTCTTCAAATGAATCGGCACACTTACATCAAGTCGGTGGCTCTCGAGTGTAAGGAACCGACCTTCCCCACTCTTCAACTCCAAATGCTCAAGGTGAAACTCGACCTCATCGATAACAACTGGCAAAAGTTTGAAGCCACTCACGAACGGATGGCGGAATCCAAAGCGGAGCTCCTCCTGGATCACGATTATTTCAAGAAAAGGGTATACGATCAATGTCTTCTATATTATGCCGACGCCAAAGCCGCATTACTCATGCAGATTGAAGAGAAGGAACGGACTCACCCTCTGTCGGGCTCACAGCTAGCCAACCTCTCAATTGGTGGTCAGACATCAGCGCGACGTCATCTTCCGGAGATCACTCTTCCACAATTCTCCGGTGACTTCTCAGCGTGGAGGCCCTTTCATGATCTCTTCTCCTCCTTGGTTGGACGGAATGCGGAGATATCAAACGTGGAGAAAATGCACTACCTCCGGACTAGTCTCTTGGGCGAAGCCGCTCAGCTAATCTCCAATTTGCCGGTTTCTGAGGACGCGTTTGCGTCAGCCTGGGACCTTCTCGTTAATTGGTATGAAAATAAGCGACTTCTCATTTCGGCTCAGGTGGATCGACTATTCCGCACCAAGACCATCTCACAACGGTCGGCCAAGGAGCTCAACACTCTTCTCAACACGACAACGGAAGCGCTCAATGCCTTGGAGTCTCTCGGAGCTCCTGTTCAACACTGGGACCATCTCTTGGTCCACCTCATCGTCCAGCGACTCGACCCAAGCACTCGAGAGGCCTGGGAAGTCAAGCTTGGCTCCACCACGGACCCCCCTTCATACAAGGACATTCGCACATTTCTCACTGGGCGCGCCCGAGCCATGGAGAGTATGGAGTTCGGAACCTCGAGCTCCTCTCCAGCACAAAAACCAGTTCCCTCGCCACTACGACAGACCAGCAAGACATCGGCGGCCACCGCTCATGTGGCCATCTCACCCCCCTCCGGGACCTCGGAAACTTCCGGATGCACTATGCTCTGGCTCTCATTACATTGTCTCTTGCCCTCGTTTCAGAGATATGTCTGCTCATCTACGGCGAAACATTGTGATCGATAAGCGCCTCTGCTTTAATTGCTTGGGCAGGCATAACGCAGTCGCCTGTCAAAATCTGAAGAGGTGCAGAGAATGCGGCAATAAGCATCACACGATGATACACATGGACAGTCAACCGCCCCCACGTTTGTCAACGATGCAAGATAAGGTGACCCCATCAACCACGGCTACGCAGACGTCGGCGCCGGCCTCACCATCCAAGAGCACCAGCACATCGGCTTCAGAGTGACTCTCGCACTCGGTCCTTTCTCAATCTCACTCGGTAATTCTCACTCGCCCGGCAATTTTACTCGCTACTTGTTGCGCTACCATCAGATCACCTTGCGGCTCTCCTCACTCGGTAAGGATGCTCATCGATCCCGGGTCTGAACTCACCTTTGCTTCCGGGCAACTCATCTCAA